ATAAGAAGCAACCAAAATAATGTTAACTTGAGTGGCTCAGCTACAGCATCTGTTAATTGATATTCAGCCTAGTAATTGAGAGAAGAGTCATAAAATTCTAAAGTAGAGTTTTATACAATGCTGCCATGCTGATTAGTCCTCATTCACTAAATCTAACAGCACAAAGTTAGCTGTGTATAACTAATCAATTTTTCTCTCCACAATAAAAGCCATGAATACATGTATTACTGTGTAAAATATATGCTTTAGCTAACTTGTCAATGACCTTTGGGAAGGATCCAGAATTAAAAGATTAATGCATTGAATTTCTTTTTTCAACGTGCACTCAGGCTTGCTAAGCACCTATTATAACATGTCTTTCTCATGAGAATTCCATTTCTTCTTTGCTTCTTCAGAAATAGTTTTTATAATACTAAATTTATATGTTTAAAACAATCAGTTCTAAGACTTCCTTGATAATTACTAAGGTTTAATAATAAATATCAATTTCATTATTCAAGTAAATAATATTTTTTAAGCAATAAGAATTTGGAATTATATTTATTGACCCAAGGCAATTACAACTGTGGCTAAAAGAATACACAAAATTCTCTGGTGGATAGTGGTCATAGAACATTTAACATATTAAAATGTGTATATTTCATTTTTTTTAAAAAAGCTGAAAAAGCATACCAGCTGTACCTAAAGGGTGATACTGAAGGACAAACAGTGAAAGCTACAAATCATGCATAATTTATGACCATGCTTACTACCTTCATTAACTAGGGCATTTTCCATTCTTACCTCGGACTTCTCCAGTTTATTCTGTGCATCAATTTGTGTAACAATCTCATTCATGTTGGTCTCCAATACCATTCCCCCCATCACCATTTCTGCAAGAATATTGTGTACCTAAAGGAAAATACAATATACATCCATAAAGAGAATTCACCATAAGAACATTAATGATTCCAGTAATTTTTGTTTCAAATATTGCTGTGTCTATTTTATGAGCTGTAAAATAAAAGTAATTTGGAGTGAAGGTTCATAATATACTTCTGTCACTACTGTGAAGCCTTAGGCAAATTATACAAACCCTCTTTAAATCCTAGTTTAACAAGCTGTAAAACAGAGATAATAATAGTACCTCCTTCACAGATTGCTGAAAGGAGTAAGGTCAACCACAGAAATTCCCAAAATAAAGAAAATAACCAATAAACATTAGCTACCATTATTATAGTATCAAGTCAAGGTGCAAAAAATTCCCTATAGGGTCTTTTATACCAGATTCCTAGTCAATATTAAGTTGTCTTGTGCTCAAGGTACTTAATGAAGCTACATGGCATTACTACAAGCTCTAGATTTAAAATGAAGTAAAATTTTCTTTTTATGATACTTTAATTATGCTTTTACCCCAAAGCCTTCTCTATGTATCTAATTACTCAGATTTTTTATCATCAAATATATCCTGCATTGACTAAAAATAACTTTTTCCACTGAGAAGAAAACTATAACCCAGGTGTTTTGTCATAAGTTATTTACTTGATCAAAAATTACCATTTCAAAGCTGAATTGGGCGCCAAAGAACAGCACACTGTGGTATAATTAAAAAAATAATAATGTGGTGGCATTAGGAATGGAGACTCTGAAATGAGACAGGTATAAATACTGACTCTACCACTTACAAGCTGAATGCCCTTCAGTAGTTAGTTACTTGATCTCTGTTACCTTGTCTATAAAACAGATAGAAATAGTATAGGCATCTTATAGAGTTATCACAAGAATTAAATAATTCATGTAAAGTACATAGCACAGTACCCAATAGGCTTTAAACAAAAACTTTTTTTGATTAAATATCTAATTATACTATTCAATTGTAATTCCTCTTTAAAATTTCATGCAAATGTACTCATGATTTTTAAATATCCTATCATTATTTACTAATGTTTCATTTTGGAAAGATGGACACTTCACATACCAATTTTGAAGAATTATAGAATTTTTCCCTAACAAACAAAACAAAACCACAAGCCACAATTATTTTAAAAATTAGTGCTAAAAATCATCAGTTAATATATTATCCTTTCTGTCACTAGATACTGTTTATTAAAACTCTATTTTGATGCTGTATTTAAATATCTAATTTAATTATCACATTAACCTATTTCAGCTGAGAGAATAAACCAGCTTACTAAAAACACATAAGCTAGTATGTGGCAAACCAATGTCTCAAACCTAAATCTGAGTGATCCAAGTCCAATTCTTTGCTTTCTTCTGTTAACAATAATAAATGGAATTGATGCAGTGAATTAATTTTTAGTCATAATCTAAGAAAATTCAATTAAAGGTCAAAAAGGCAACTAGGTGATAAAATAAAATCCTTATAATAGCTAATAGGTACTATATACAGAAAAAGTGTTCAGAAAGAGAGCCCATGGCCAGGGGATAGAAATTCATTAAAACTTCTGTTCTAGCAGTGGAATTTCCTCTCTTCTTTTTAAAACAAACTCTCATGAGAAAATATGATTTCTAATGCTGATAAAAGTGGAGTAACTCCATCACCCCCCCTTTTCTCAGGCTTTCTTATGGGTTCATCCCTATATATACTGTACTACTGTCTTTCCAAATATCTCAGAACACAAGCACTAGATTGGTGGAAACCATAGTTTCTATATTATTGAAACATTTACCAAGTTTAGAGGTAGCAAAGTATGAGCAGCCTACAAATGTGGGTCATACGCAAGAAATTCTAAGACTGTGTATCAATTTAAGAGGTAAGAACCAGGATGTAAATTTGTCCTCAAAGTAAAAATAATTTCTATGAAAGCAAATTGAGATCCAAAAAGAGACAGAAAACACAAGTGAAGGGCCTGTGAGCTAAATCCTTAAACATAATCTCACTTATGATTAAGATTAATGCCGAAAGACTGTATTCTCAGTGAGGAGGTGCTACACATTATGTAGAAATTTAAGGAGATAAATAGAATGGGAATGAGAATTGTTAATTGGGAGGCTACTCCAATATTATCAAGGTTATGGTGTCCAAAAGTAAGGAATGCCACATGAGGAGAGGAAACTTAGAAGATGAATATATCTAGTGATAGAAAAACTCATTTTCAAGAGTTGAGAAGAATTTTTGTCAGACTTAAGAGAAAGAGGATGATAAAAGCTGTTTTTAGCTTAGTTTTAATGCATATGGCTGACATATTTCCATATTTTGTTTTATAAACTTTACTTAAAACAGATTTTGATGGAAATAAAAGAGTACCAGTATGCTAATAATACAACTCATCTACTAAATAAACTGCTTTAATGTTCACCTAAAATAAGAATTCAATGAATTTTTACTCTCCTTTTATTTAAGTGTTTAAAAAGTAGCAAATACCACATTAACAAGATATTTTTGCTTTTTAAAAAAATATATATGCTCTATCTACTCAACCACACAGCTTCTTCTGGACATAGACCACAACCTCTAAATTGCAATATAAGCCATACAGAAACTTATATATAAACAATAATAGTGTCTACAATCCTCTGTGTCTGTTATTAGGTCCCTTTAACCAAAGATAATCACAGTTAATTGTATCTTATATATCCTTCCAGAAAACTTGTTATGCACGTATTTGTTATATGCATGTGTATATGTATCTAATACACACAAATGAGATCACATTGTATATGTTATTTCCACAGTTCTACAAGAAAATAAAAGAATGGACTTAAAGTTGGAGGCAGGAAAAAATCAGCATGTGAGTTAATAAAAGATGGTGGAGTCAGATGTACGTATAAGGATGATCAATGAAACTCTGTTGGTAAGAGCAAAGAAAAATACCAAAGTAAAATGGTGAATCTACACTATTAATTATCATACATCTAAAAATGAGAGAAATCTACAGATTCCTCAGAAATATAGCTAGGTTATTAAATGAACAAATGAGTGGGACAGAACAATATCTGTAATATGGTCCCACTGAGGTATGGAAAAAAAAATTACACACATACACACAGTTGGATATACCCAGAAAAATTCTGGAAAGGTACACAAACACTAAAAAAAAAAACTACCTTCAGAAATATATCCTCTCAAAATATATTTAACAACTTCATTAAATCTAAAAATATAATAAATTTTGCTATAATTATTCTCCAACAAGATAGCTGAAATGTTATATAAATCTAAACTTTCACTTGATAATGTCATTAACATGAAGAAAGTGCCCACTAAGGAAATAATCAGTTCTACAGTTATCTGGTTAATACTATCTTGAGATTGATTCAGTTGAACAGCTTCTGCTGTTAAAGAGCACAATCCCTGCACAAACTACTGTCTTCTTGAATATATTACAAAAGAAAATTTCAAAGTATGACAATTTTGAAAATAATCTTGAAAGGAATTAAGAGTATACTGTTAGCCCATCAAAATTTTGATACATTTTTTAAGACAAAACAGAAAGGGAATGTATATAGCATACTATACTAATAATAATGAAGACAATTGTTAATTGTTGATCAATGGAAAGCAACAAGGGCATAGTAATTCAAAGTAATAGGTAAGAGTAATTCTATTTTGGTACACAATGTATTTTATACTCATACTGAATATGAATGTCTCAAATCTTAAAATTCAAAATATTCAAGTCTGACTGAAAAATTAGCTCTTTTACTTGTTACTCTATATTTTGGGTTGATTGTACAGAAGTTCTTTTTATTTTTTATTTTATTTTATTTTTTTAAACTTTTTTTTAATTGAGCTATAGTCATTTTACAATGTTGGTTCGAATTCCAGTGTAGAACACAATTTTTCAGTTACACATGAACATACATACATTCATTGTCACATTCTCTTTCACTGTGAGCCACCACAAGATCCTGTATATATTTCCCTGTGCTACACAGCACAATCTCGTTTATCTATTCTACATTTTGAAATGCCAGTCTGTCCCTTCCTACCCCCCGTCTCATTGGCAACTACAAGTTTGTATCTTATGTCCTGAGTCTGTTTCTGTTTTGTAGTTATCTTTTTTTTTTTAGATTCCGCATATGAGCGATCTCATATGGTATTTTTCTTTCTCTTTCTGGCTTACTTCACTTAGAATGAAGTTCTCCAGTACAGAAATCCTTTTTAAAGCTTGCTTATTATAGAGTCACAGAGGCTCACTATAAGACCTGACAATACTACTGGCTTATATATTATTGTTGACTTGTATTTTAAGTCTACAAATTTTTTTTCATTTTAAACACTTAAGTACTTTAACAGTCAATGATCTTTTATCCTTACTCATAAATTTACTTCTTTCTTTGCTCTTCTTCCTTCTTCAACTCACTCCTTTTTATATCATAGATTTCTTTCTGTGAAAAGTACCCTCTTGAGAATTTCCTTTAGTCCAAAGGCTTGCTGGTTGCAAATTTTCTCATTACTTGTTTCTCTAACAATGTTTTTATTTCATTCATATTCTTGAAAGATATTTTTGCTAATTTTAGAATTACAGTTTAGCAGTTATTTTCTTTCAACATATTATCTTCTAACTTCTGTGGTTGCTGTTGAGAAATCAGTTTCCAGTCTAACCACTGCTCTTGTAAAGGTAATATGTCTATTATTTCTGGATGATTTTAGGAGCTCTTTCTCTGCTATTCAATTTTACTATCATTAGTCTATATGTGGACTTACTTGTTCTGCTTGTGATTCTTTTATCTGCGGACTGGCATCGTCCAGAAAATTCTATCGTTCTAGAAAATCCTATTAGATATCCATTAGAGTATCCATTAGATACTCAGATTATGCCTCATTCTTTCTTTCTTCTTCTTCATTAGAAGTTTCTCATTCTATCTTTCCTTACCTGTAAGCTATCTTTCAAACTCTCAATCTTTCTTGTCTTTTTACATTGCATTATGGACAACGTGTTCTATCTTTCCATTTACTCAGATAGGTCCAATCTATGTTTAAACCTATCCATTGAAATTTGATTTTTTTTCCTCTTCTAGAAATTCCACCAACTTCTTTTTCAAATCACCTAAGTTAAAAAAAATTATTTATTGCAATTTTAAAAATTAGGATTGACTTTCTAACAACTTGCTCAGCAGAAAGGGGGCCAAGATTTTGACTGGTTCTGGCAGGGGAGGGTAAAGCTGAGCATGTCTGGGGCTCAGCGTTTGAATGACTCAGCCAGGAGTTTGGTTATAGAAAGGAAAGATTAAGCAAACTAAGTAAATGCATCAATATTAACAGGAATAATAGGAATGACAATAATCAGAATAATCTCTCACTGTCAAAGAAGCAAACTGCAGATATGGAAAAGGAGAAGGCTAGAGTAACTCTACAGTGTTGCACCAGACTGAGGTATTAGAACTCAAAGATTTTTAATATATATGAAGATATAGAAATACGCACAAATCTGTGTGTGTGTGCTCAGACTGTGTGTGTGTGTGTGTACGTACATCTATTTCCCAGCTTGATTCACTGAGAACCAGGAGTAATATCACCCCGATACCAATAAGCACACTTGGTGCTGAGACTGTCATTTCTATATATCATCATCCACTTAAAGGAAACTTGGGGAGAGGACAGATGTGAAGGCTGGGGAAAAATATATATAAGACGTTTTGTTCATACAAAAGGCCAAGAAACAGTGATCAGCCTCATAATTATGAGCACCTCCAGACCTTGGTTTCTCTGTACCATGTCCCACTAAAAGGAATCAGGGTTCCTAGAAGGAATGACTGATAACATGTTTTGAGCAGGAAATAAACAAAATAAATCTGGAACATCTAGTTGTACCAAAACACAAAGCAGCTATCCAAGTCCATGGAGGGAGGTGGGGGAAGGGTCATGTCAAAAGAACTCAGAAGACAACCTGAAGGGGTTCCCACTGGCCAAAGATGGGGCAATTTGAACATCAAAAAGAACATCTGTAGTGGATTAAAACAAATCAATTATGTTAAAATTCATATGTCACAAGGATACTAAAAAGAAATTCAATGATCGCTTTTGGTAGGTAATAGGTTTATGAAAAGTGGTTAATAAAGGGAAATACTCTAGAATTTATCTTCCTTCATATATAAGATGTACCTTTTTAAACCCATCATCTCTGTCTTTTTAATGGACTGTTTCACTCAATTCACACTTAGTGTACTGAATAATACATCTATTTTTAAATTATTTCCTTTTCCCCCCTAAAGTTGGTTGGTTTGATCAAATTTTATTTATATTATTTCTCCCTCCTTTAAATCAGAGATTCTACTATTTATAATTTTTATTAATGAAAACTCTCCTTGCTTTTAATCAAACAAATATGGTTTTATTATTATTTATAAAATATTAAGTCTTCCTACCACTGAGATGCCTTGTTTTCCTACTAAAATGCTCTGATTATTCCCTACTTTCATTTCCTCCAGTTGGATAAGAGTCACAAAATACTTTTATAATACATGTTAAATACTTCAAATTCTCTTATCTTTTTCTTCACGTCTTCTATGTCTTAGCTTTCAGTTATGTGCCTTGAGATTATTTCCTGCATTTCTCTTTTATATCTGTAATTCAAGCCTCAACTGTGATATCATCTCCTTTTAAACTCTACGGTTTGAAAACACATTTTTAAGCCCCAGGAAGACCTTTTCAAACTGCATCTCATTAAGTACTTTTTATCATTTTTAAATTTCAAATGTTCATCTATCTCCTCCAGTAGTTGTATTTCCCCCTCACAGAGCATATTCTGGTGTTCCTCATCTCTCTTGCTGAGATAGCATTCTTTCTGCTGGCTCACTAATACTTAGGTCTGGTTGCTGAGATACTCTTCTTAATGGTTAGACTTCTTCAGTTGGTGAAATGAAAAGGAGTCTTTCACTTTATGTCCTATGGTTTAAGGATAGGCTGTCAAAGTCCTCAAGAGGGACTGGGCTAGAGGAAATCACTCTGCTCTTAATTCTTCATTCTCCTAGTCTAAAGGGTAGGAAAGACACTGAGGCCTCCAATCAGATCTCCCTTACCCGGATCATCCGAGGGATGGGGTAGGGGGTATGTAGGAAGGGGTGGACAGAGCACATTCATAGCTGTCAATGTCATATATCCTCCAAACCAAGCTCTTCATAAATCTTCAGCTCTCTCATCTTTGCCCTGGGATTTGAGGCTATGCTGCAATAGTGTCAACAACCTGGGGCTGCCCAATTAAAGCCACTGTGTTCAGGAAATGGACAGGTAGCACAGATGAGCAAATAAGGAGACCTTCTCAGCAAAACCACAATGGCCATGTAGTATAAGTAATAAACTAGGTTACTCATATTTTAGGTGTTATTACCACAGCATAACTTAGCTGTAAAAAAAGAGTCTGACTCCATTTTTGATGTCTGACAGTGGACAGCTTTCAAGCCCCACTGCTCCCCTTCCTCTTCTGCCCACATCTGAGCAAGCTGATAAGAAAGTCCAGGTGCTCCTTACTCTGCACTGGCAGGAAATTGAAACTACGCAAAACCTGTCCTGCACACAGAAACCCTCGTCCAAGCCCTACCCCCTAATCATGTAAAACCCCAAGATAGACGCTGTTCCTTTTTCTTCCCCAAAAAGTTTATTAAGTGAGTGATAAACCTTTTTAGATCATATACTGTTGGTGTACGTGTAGTATCTCCAGTCTCGATGTCCAAACCAATTTGAGTAGGGGGTGCTGTCCCACTACTTCAGGGTGACTACAAAGATCAGCCTATATGACTGACACAGAAATTAGTACTTAAAGGTTTGTAATGAGAAACTGATTCACAATCACAATAAAGGAAAAGACACTGACTTAGGAGGTGGGCAGTAGGCCACACGGAAACAATTGCATTAGAGGCTAGGAAGTTAGTGGCCCATGTTTGTAGTGGTAAAATAGTTGGCAAAACTATCATGTGTGATACTTTGAAAAGCATATAAATTAACCCATGAAAACTCTTTTCTCTGTGATGTAAAAACGGATGATTTTCCAAATACTGGCAGCTTTGTCACCATGGATCCCAGAGTGAGAGCATGTGGGACGTGATAAAATACTGCATGAATTAGAAATACTCTGATATTTGTTACTGCAGCATAAACTAGCCCATCCCGACTGATAAGAAAAGGGGTATTCTTTACAACTTCCTCCTTTCCTCTACCCAACTGTCATCTAAAAGCACACAGCGGACTCTCTGCATTTGCCCCTAGGGAAAATGAGCTGAGCTAGTTAGAAGATCCCTAATGGCTGGGAAGTCCAGGGCTGCTTGAAACTTGAAAACAAGCCTACTTTCAAAGAAAGGGTGAAAACAAGACTAGCATTGTTTTAGACAGAGAATGTAGGAAAGGAAATATCTATTTGACTGGTCTCTAATTCTTATACTGAAGCTTTTTTCTCATTGCATTGAAAAAAATTTTTTTAATAAGAGCTTAGGCCAGAAAAAAGAGGCACAGCTAATTTTGGCAGGTTCTAAAAAGAAGATACACTGCTATGTGAAATGAACAGGCTATATACACTACAGATAAGATCCAATTTTTTTTTAATTAAAGACATATTTGTTTCTGTACTCATTTGTTCAAAAAAAATCAGAAATGTACTCTAAAATGTTAACTAGTGGTAATTACACAAGGCAGCTATTAGACTGAGGTTGTTCTAATACATTAGCAGCCTCCGTAAGCAAACCAGAACCTAAGTCTGTAATGCCTCAAGGTTAAGAAATCAAAACCTAAGAACAACCAATTACAAATGGCCAACTTGGCTTTTCCAAATAATGCAACTGCTTAGGCAATAGCCAATCAGATAATTTCCTCGCTTTGCTTCTGCCTCTTCTCTATAAAAGACTTTCCCATAGCTCCTGCAGGTGGAGTGCTCCTAACCACTTACAGTTTGGTGCCACCCAATCTGAATCAAGTTTTGCTTAAAAATTTTAATGTGCCTCAGTTTATGTTTTAATACTAGGCAATCTTTGAAATTGAAATGGCTTCTATTTATTTTCCTCTTATTTGTATTTTTGGATTTTTCTAAAATAAATGCATTATTAATGTAAAATGAAGTTTTAAAAACACTGTGTGTCAAACATTTCCTATTAAGGAAAACTTATTCTCTAGAACAAACGTGATAACTTTATTCTTATTGCAACATTTTGCAAAAAGAATCTTCAATTTTCTCAAAAAATTGCCAGATGTATCATTTAAGCTAATGATTTTTGAGCAATCATTTTAAAAATAGAGTTTTAACCATGTACCAAAACATACTTTTGAATATTGTGAATTTTAATGCTTAAAAATAACAAGTCTTTGTAAGTGTGAATAGTGTAAGACAGATTAATAGAGAAAAGCAGTAGAAAACTAAAATAAGTCTTAAAAATATCAAGTTTAAGTTCTCTATCCAAAATGAGCCAATAATATGAAATTAAATCACTTAGTAAAAGAGAAAAATGATCCTAAAGGACTGGCTAATGATAAATGTATTCTTTTGATGTTCACAAATAATAAAATGCATTCCTTGTGCTGTATCTTGATTGTAGTAGTGGTTGCATAACTAAATGTATTTGTCAAAACTTAGTTAAATGTATGCTTAAAGCTACTGAATTTTAATGTGTGTAAATTACACCTCAACAAAGCTGATTTTTAAAAATCACAATTTTTTGTTAAAATTTCAGACTATTTTATTCAAAGCCTGAATCACTCAAAACAATCTGTTACATTATATAAACTTAAAAGAGAAAAAAAAAATCTATATATAGTAAAAGTAGAATCTCTTCCTTGTAAAATTCCCTACCACCAATATCCAGTAATACTGGCTAGAGAATTCAGTCATTCTTCCTTTCTCTTACCTTCTTTCGATACATCAAGTTCTGTCAATTCCACTTTCTTTCATCACTACTCTACTGCCTTAGTTCATTTTTTTCTGGACTACTGCAACAGATTTCTAACTGATTTCCTTGTCTTTAACCTCCCACCTACCAACAGAACCTCCTTAATGCAGAAAAAAATTAGCCTAATCCGTCAAGAATGAACAACCAAAGCAACAATAATGTCAGTAAAAACTTGTTTTGAAAAGTTAAATTGCCTCAGAATGAATTCCAAAATCCATGGCACTAAAATAAAGGCACTTTAAAATTAGGCTTCATGATCAATACCAAATCCCCTTGTCACAAAAACCCTGTACTTTACATCTCTGCCTGTAGAGCCATCCTCTCCTTTTCTATGGAACACCTACTAATGCTTAAAAAAACCCAGTTTAAATGTAATTTCCTCCAGTTGCACTCTCATAGGCAGAGGTAACTGGTGTAGCTGTGTTCCATTAACACTCTCAACATACTTGTTCATGCCAGTTTCCTCCTCCAGATGTGAATTCCTTAGGGTCTGAATCTTCTTCACTAAGCAGAGTGCCTGGCTCATAGTAAATATAACTTATGAATTAAATAAAGGAATAAAAGTAGTTTTATTCACTAAACACATTTTTTAAAGTCATTTTAGTGAGCAGCTTCACTAATGTGTTATAGCCTTCTCTAAATGGCAATTCTACCACTATTTATCACATAATGCCTGTTGCTCTTATGTTGCTTCTTGTTTTTTTCCACTCTAAATCACCTCAGCCAGGAGCCTGTCATTTCATGACTCAAACCAAAATACTTTCTTTTTTTATTTGTTTGTTTTTTATTTATGTTTGGGGGTGAGGTAATTAGGTTTATTTATTTACTTTTTTTTAAGGGAGGTACTGGGGATTGAACCCAGGACCTTGTACATGCTAAGCACACGCTCTACCACTGAGCTGTATCCTCCCCCCTCACTAAATCCATTTTTACTTTGACAAATACAAATTAATATTTTTCTAAGATAAAAAGCTTAGACCATTTGATAATGTAGAAACTGTACCTTGTCTACATGGAAAATCAGATCCAGTTCACAGACATTTTCAAAACACTTGTCTAATGTTTCCACAAATACCTAAAGAAAAGAAAAAAAGGTTAAAAGCTTCTGAGAATTGTATAAGATCAATCGAATCTATTATCTACAAGGCAGACAATTCTTAATTGTAAACTAAAGCTTCTATCACATTTCTTTTTTAAATTAAACGCCGTATTAAGTGCAAAAGGAATACTTACAGACTATTCTTCATCTAAGCTACTTTTCAATAAATTAATATGCAAAATACAATATGATGAAAAAAGAAAGCTTATCACAAGTAAAAGTATTTAACAAGATAGACAGGCATAGTCCAAGTCTCTACCACATTTAATGTAGCCAGTGTTTTTAATTAGCAAATCAGTAAAAATTAAACTTATGGAAAGAGTACAGACTTTGGAATCAGATTTACCTAGACTCAAACTCTGGCTCAAATATTTTGTATGACCTTGTGTAGTAACTCAGTAAGCCTCGGCTGCTCAAACCTTACACATTCCCCCAAATGGCCCATTTTCAGACTAGCCTTTGGCTAGTTCTTGGGAACAGAGCCCTTGGAAATTTCTGATAAGAGTGTTTTTGCATTACTGAGGTCTTGGGCCACACTGTACCAGCTTATGCAAACAATGTGATTTACAATGAACATACTTTTTCTCTGAGGTTCTGGAGCTTAAGTAAGCAAGGTCAGTCACGGAGGTGCCACATGCCTATATGACTGACCTCTAGGACACCCAGGTTAGGGTGAGCTTCCCTGGTCGAGAACACTTGCACATGTCATCACATATCACTTCTGGAGGCATCAGGCACATCTGTGTGACTCCAGTGTGAAGGGACAACACTTGGAAGCTTGCACTTGGGCTCCTCGACACTTCCTCGTGTGCCTTTGATGGTTTTACTGTGTATCCTTTCATTGTAATAAACCCTAACCATAAGCATAGCAACTTCTAAGAACTGTTAATCCTACAAAACACTGAGATGGGTCTTGGAGACCTCTGACACAAAATTGCAAAAATTAATCTCTTAAATTCCATTTTGCATAGTTGTCACTACCCTATTTCTATTTGTTTCCACTACCCTTCTCAATGGTATTTTCACAGACAGACTGACCATATAATTTACCATCTGAACTGGGGGGTATTAAGAGTAAAAGAGGAGAAGTGCCAAGATGGTGGAGAAGAGACTCATAGCTCACCCTCTCTCACAGATACACCAAGAATTACATCTGAATCGCACAGAACACCTCCTGAGCTCTGGCAGAGTATCTCTTGCTTTGAAATATAGGCGGATTCTCACAAAATCTGATAACAAGTTCATACTGTATAGCACAGGGAACTATATTCAGTATCTTGTAGTAACTTATGGTGAAAAAGAATATGAAAATGAATATATGTATTTTCATGTATGACTGAAGCATTATGCTATACACCAGAAATTGACACAACATTGTAAACTGACTATACTTCAGCAAAAAGTATATATACCAAATGGGGGGGTAAAAAAAAGCAGCTATTAATCATTATATTATCAACAGTATGCAATGTTAGTATAATATAATAACCACCTAGAACAACAGATGTAAACCAGGACTGCTCCAAGCAAACTGAAATGTATTGGTCACCTTATTCATAGGTGATCTTATGGGTCAGAGTAAAATCTAAACAGTAGGTTTCATGCTGTAACTACTCCAACCTGAGACCAATTTACACAGACCTACAATCCAAGGTTCCTTCTGGCATCAATGTAGAAGGGTAAGACAGGTGAAAGAATGTAGATATATTTAACTATTTGATCATGATCAACATTGTCTTAGCCCAGAGTTGGCAAACTTTCGCTGCAAAGGTCCAGAGTAAAGATTTTAGGCTTTATGGGCCATACAATCTGGCATAAAAGTAGCCACAGACAACACAAACAAATGAGCGTGGCTGTGCTCCAATAAAACGCTATTTACAAAAATAGATAGCAGGCTGGATTTGACCTGCAGGCTGTAATTTGTTGATCCTTGACTTAGACCAAAGTTAGTAGGAAAAAATAAGATATCAACAGTAGAATATACAGTTTACACATAATTTCATTTATGAGAAGGCAAGTTATTAAGATGACCAAGTGTGAAGCATATACATTCCACCCTCAAGTGACTTCCTAGTTTATTTCAATTGTGTGGTAGGTAGAAAATAAATATTGATGAGTATCTACCCAAACTCCCAACTTTATCTATTTCTCCTGAAGACCTTGACTGAAATGACTTTATTTATTCTATTTCTACCTAATTCAGATTCGTTTTTCTTCTTGCTATAATAGATTTTTGTTACGAGGACAAAAGGGGATAATGCTGCTTGAACACAGAGTAAGCACTTAAATATTAACTTCTTGGGAAAAGTAAGAATAAGAGTAAAAAAGAGAAAACTTACCCATTGAGAAAGATGAAAATATTTATTTCTGAAATAGTATCTTTAACTTGGAAGTGATCTGAATACATTTATAACTCATAGTTATATAAGTTATGGGAAATAAAGCCGTAAAAGATCTGTCCTTTAGTAAATTTTTTCTGAAGTATAACATACATACAGAAAAGTACACAAAACTGATGGCAGAAATGTAAAATGGTGCAGCCACTGTGAAAAACAGTATGAAGGTTCCTCAAAAACCTAAAAACAGAACTATCATATTATCAAGCAATTCCACTCCTAGACATATAGCTGAAGAAAACAAAAACACTAATTTGAAAAGATACTTGCACCCCAAAGTTCACAGCAGCATTATTTACAACTGCCACTAATGAAAGCAACTTAAGTGTTCATCAACAGATGAATGGATAAAGAAGATGTAAGATATATATATCTTACATTATACACACACACACACATATATAATCACACACAATGCAATACTACTCAGCCATGAAAAAGAATGACAATTATGCCAATTGCAACAACATGGATGGACTTGGAGGGTATTATGCTTAGTGAAATAAGTCAGACAGAGAAAGAAAAATACTATATGTTATGACTTAGATGTGAAATCTAAAAAATAAAATGAATGAATATAACAAAGCAGAAACAGACTCACAGACATAGAGAACAAACTAGCGGTTACCACTGGGAAGAAGGAAGGTAGGAGGGGTAATATAGGGATAGGGGATTAAGAGGTAAAAACTATTATGTATAAAATAAATAAGCTACAATGATATATTGCACAGCAAAGGGAATACAGCCAGTATTTTAAAATAATAACTTTAAATGGAGTATAATCTATGAAAATTATGAATTGCTAGGTTGTATATCTGAAACTAATGCAATACTGTAAACCAACCACACCTCAAAAATTTTAAAAAGTTATGTAAATCATAACCTGATCAATTTTTACAAAGTAAACTTATCTGTGTAACCCACACTTAATATTCAAATATTAGAATATTATCAGCACAGTAAAAGCCTCCTCATACGCCATCTATCAACTATCACTATTCTACTTTTCTAACATTATAGATACATTCTGCCTATTTTTGAACTGCAATTGACCCTTGAACAACACAGGCCTGAGTTGCATGGTTCCACTTTTAAGCAAATTTGTTTCAATAAATATAGTACTATATGACCCATGGTTGGCTGAATCTAGGGATGCACAAACCAGATATGGAAAGTTAAATGTAAGGGACTTGAGTATTCGTGGATTCTGGTAACCACAGTGGGTTCTGTAACCAATCCCCCACAGATATCAAGGGACAACTGTATATTTAAATGGAATCATACAGTATGTAACCAACTGTGTGGCTTTTTCAATTTATCATTATTTTTGTGAGATTCATTTATATTATTATATAATTAATAGTTTACTCATTTTTGTTATACAGTGTGCCACTGTAGGAATATACCACAATATATTTATCCATTCCACTGTTGACAGAAATTTGGGTTGTTTCCAGTATGGGGCCATTACAATTAGTACTGCTAAGAACATTCTTATACAAGTCTTTCAGTAAACATTCATACACGTATCTACTTAGTGCATATCTAGAGCAGAATTACTGGGTCACAGAGAAGTGATTTTCAAAGTGATTTTCAATAGATTTTTCAAAGCAATTATAAAAATTTACACTTCAAATAGCAGTACATGTGAGATCCCAAAGGGCCACTCCTTGCCAGCATTTTGTTATGGTTCTAATTTTAGCCATTCGTATGGGTGTGTGGTGGCATGTCATTATGATATTCATTTGTATTTCCTTGTTGCCTAAGGAGATTAACCACCATTTCATATTTATCAACCATTTAGATATCCTTTTTTGTGATGTCTGTTCAAGACTTATGCTCATTTTTTCTCATTGATGTATAGAAATTCTTTATATATATAATATATATAAATATTCTTTATATATATATGACACAGTTCTGTCAATATATACATACTATGGATATCTTCTCCCACTCTGTGACTTGCCTTTTCATTCTTCTAGTAATGTTTTTGGAAGAACCTAGGTTTAAATTTCAGTATAATCCAACCTATAAGCTTTTTTCCTTAATGGTTAATCTTTTTGTGTGTATGTCCAATTTAAGAAATTTTTGCCTACAGCAAAGTCAAAAAGATACTTTCCCAGAAGAAAACAAAAGCTTCACTATTTTACTTTTCATGTTTGGACCAAATCTATCTGGAATTAATTTTTAATTGAAGTGAAGTGATCTTTCTTAATTTAAAGTCATTATTAAATCTGTTAATCAGAATAAAGTTTCCAGTATGCCTTTATTTTTCCATGTTTACTTTTTCCAGATCCACTGGTTTGATTACCCATATACTGTAGTCATTCTTTTTTAATCATCAGAAGATGACTATCTTGGTGAAAATGCTATCTAAATAGTTTCCCTTCCATTATGTATTTTTATGAAGGATCAGTGGAACCCACTGAATGTGAAGACTATACTGGACAAAGAAAAAAAGTTCATGGTAGCACTGAAGGTGCCAGTGGTGAACTAAAGACTGCAAAAAAAAAAAAAAGAAAGAAAGAAAAAAGAAAAGCTATGTATACAGGCAGTATAGCAAAGTGGTGAGGAAAC